TGACCTCTCCTCCTGCAAGCACCAACCCCACAAAATCCTTTCCCAAAGCTTAGAGTGATGGGCAAAGTGTCTGTGTGCAGGTAGTCTGCAATATGCTGGCTACTAACAATGGCTACGGGAAGAAAGCTGCACAAAGCAAGCCCACCCAAGTGCTTTACAGAAGGGTCTTCATTGTCCTGATGTGGAAATCACAGGGGATTTCATTCATGCAGGATTTTGGTTCTGCTTTAGTTTTCTCTCTCATAGGCAGAGGCCTGTCTTCCCAAGGCATCCTCACCAGGATCACAACTGTGACGGGATGGAGAGAGGCTTGTCTGCTATCACTGACATCGAGAGCGATGCTGCCTGCAGTTCTGTACTTCTGCTAGGGTCAGCCATGTTGGCAAAGTGGAGAGCGAGTTGCCAGGCTAACAGTTATCCAAGAATAAAGTCATTGATGGTGGAGCATGCAGATGAAGCAAGAATATTTCACTATGGTGGCAGAGGCAGATGTAGGCTGCCGCAGAACAGAAATCTTCAGTCCTCTCCGTTTTCCTTGGCATGGGACTCAGGTTTCCTTCCTATGAAGTACTGTCTGGTTGCTGATGCGCCATTTCATCCCCACATTAAAAGAACATGTGCACAAGCCTCTTGCTTCAATAGCAAGTCCCACTATGATGGGTGAGTGGCAATGGGGACAGACACTAGCAATTACTAGAAGCCCCTAGTCATGGACCTGGACCTCATCACCGACCTGCACTTACAGAGGCAATGACTGTATGATGGTTATTTTGTACTTGCAACTGAGACACGTCCGTGATTAGGTAGCTGCGATTATGGCTGAGCAGGCCTATTTCACATGAACTCTGATGTCCTGTGTGTGGAGGGCACTAGAAAAGGCACCTTAAACAGCCATGTCATGTCACCTGCCTGGGATCCGTCCAAGTCAAGTACTGAGGTTTGCAACCTGGACTGTCCACACCCTGGTGCACAGTACAAACAGTGCCCAACTGGATTGAAGGACAGCACTTGTGCCCAGAGCTGCATCGATTTATTTTCCTGAACAAGCGTGCACAATATGATCTAATCATCACAAAGCAACTGAATGAACCATTGAAGCTGATGACAGGCACTTGCAGATACACTCATGTTCCTTGGCTGTCTCTTCTATTGCATACCCCTACTCCTCATCTTTGAGAAGAGGCTAACTAAAGAGTCTACGAAAAACTGCCTATATTCAATTCACTACCAACTTTTGAGGTACTTGATGACCCCCCTATGCCAAGACTTATGTCGAAGAAGGCCATTTTGGAGTGTGGGAAAAGAACTGAATCGTGAAAAGTTTGATATCAAGGAAAATGGACCCAGTGATGCAAGACACTTGATCTCATTAATACAGTTCTTGTCATGGACCCCACATCTAAACCTCCCGGCTTTGCTTAACTAAGGCAGAGCTGGACTACGTTGAACAAGGTGGACAAGTAGATACTTTGTAAATGGAATTTTATTAAAGACGCCAAGTGAGAGTGTGGTGAGAGCCAAACTGTAGCACATATCATGGAGGAATGTCCTATTTATCCTTTTAATGATTGTGATGAAGACCTGCACCAGGCTGCTGACAATGACTTGCCATGGATATCGTACCTAAAACTGTCGCTGTAGTCTTCCCCCTTAGTGCCATTGCTTAAAGGTTGCTTAGAGCTTGTTCTGCTATTCAGTTGCTGTATCCATCTGAATAAATCACAAAGCAACAAGTGGAAGCCATTGTGCAAGCATCCCTGCTCAAAACCCTGGCTCCTAACAGCCTATATCATAGTGCATGCCTGGCACCTATTGGCCTATATCATAGTACTTTGCAAAGTCTACCTCAGCACAGCTACGGCCAGACCAGTTCAGGACTCCAACTGCCATAACGGTCGCAGCGGAAGCGCTCCCGCTGTGGCCCACTCAGATTCGAACAATCACCAGATTCTGCTGAATCCCTGTCGTCAACTGTTTCGGGTGGGACACGAGGAGAAGACAAGGAGAAGACCAGCCGCAAAGGCTGCTGGATAGATCCTTGTTTGATCCATTCCATCATGTCCATCCATATGGCCACAAAATGGTGTCAGCAAAAGAAGCAACCAAAGAAGAGGTTCAATCTCAAGTGCTTGAAAAACCCTGCTAAGAGACATCACCTCCAGCAGTGCCTCTGAGAGAATCGTGCCAACTGCCCTGATGCTCTTGTCACCACTGATCAGCCGAGGAAGAGCGAGCGCTTCAAGAAAGGCATCCGTGAGGCATGCCAAAAATCTCAAGGCTTCTCCACAAAGAAACTGCAGGGCTGGTTCAGTGAGAACGATTGGGAAATGCTTGCCTTCAAAATGGACAGAACATACAGTGACATCAGCTCCAAACAGAAGTACCTACATTCGTGACCTTCAGTACAGATCATTCATTCAACGGCCCCTGCCACATGGACAGTTTTGCACACATAGGGGAAGAATGGATCTCCCCCTGTGTGTGTGTTAGAAAAAGCCTCCATTGAATAGGTGTGTAATCTGTAACATGGAATAAAAAGAGGAGAATTTATCAGTGCTGCAAATCCTTCTGAAATTTGCTGCGGACTCACATAAGGGCTTCACTGCAGACAAGCTGCTTTGGTTTAGTTTAGCGCATCGTTCTGCCCGTTTACCTAGTCATGGCTTCCCATTTTCCCTGAGGGTTTTTCCCACTCCAACCTAGTCATGGCTTCCCATTTTCCCTGAGGGGTTTTCCCACACCCCTTGCCAGAGAAGGCTGAGCCCTTCCTCAGGCTGCAACTGGCTCAGGTTTCAGATGGCAGATCCCATTCCTATTTCTATGCAGGTACTATCCATGTGGGAGCTTTCACCTCTGAGGTCCAGCTCCCTGGTCTGATTCAGGCAGAGATACCAATAAGTGTGAGCACATGGGGTCCCTCAGTGCTGTGGCACTTGTGGGATCCAAGCCTTCTCTCTTCCCACCTCTTGCCACCAGCTGTGCTCAGCCCCCCCAGCCCCAGCTGCTCCAGCAGGCTGCAGGGAGGCTGTGGGCTGCTCCTGGCAGGCTCCTGCCCTGCAGCTGGCAGAGGAAGCTGAGGGGAGCGGTGTCTGCACTCCCTGCCCTGGCCTCCAGGTTGGGCCCTCAGAGCTGGAGCCCCGGACTGAAACCTCCCCTGGGAGCAAGACACCCGGCCTGGGGTTGGGCATTTTCCCCATGTGCCTCTTTGTCCCCTGGGGGCCTTGTTCTCCCTTGGTGCAGTGAGAAACCCAGGGAGCAGAGCACCATCTGGCTCCAGACCTGGGGGCAGCCAGGGGTTTGTGTGGTGCAGGGTTTGTATATGGGAGCATTAGAGGGGCTGGGATCAGTGTTGACCTCTGTTTGTTCTCCTTGGAACTGAGTTGGTGGAAAGAGCCCAAAGGAGATAGGATCCCTGATACCACTCCAGTGCCAGAGAATCTGCCCACCAAAATTAAACCCCCTTACCTCATTCCCAGTTGGCAGGACGTGAAAGGGATGCAGTCCCAGCCCGGACCTTCCCAATTCCCCAAATCAAGATTCCCTCCCCTTTAGTTTCCCCCTATCGTTTCATAAATAATTTAAAATTCAGTCGGGCTCAGGATGTCCTTGCTGACCATGGTTGGTACCACACGGCAATGAGGAAAAAGGGATGGAAAAGAATACATGTGATGTGGGGGGCAGGGGGTGCGGGTAAAGAAAGGAGGAGATGCTGCAGCCTTGAATAGGTCCCGATAGGCCAGCCACAGGAAAACCTAGACAACATTCAAAGGAAAATGCCCAACACTCTGTTTTCCAGGGCTGCACAGGGGAAATCAGACATGTTTTGATTCCTGCTCCTATGCACGAGCCTAGGAAAATGAGATGTCATGAAAAAAAGCATCACTTTTCCCAAGTCATTGGGAAGGATTTAAATAAACTATTGATCAGATCCAAGGCAAAATGTCTTTCAGGAAGATATTTTTTCTCCATTTGGGGAGACAGGCATGGGGAAGATGGCAAGAGGAGGCACAGGAAACAGAAATATCTCTTCCCCCTGCCCCACTGCCTTTTTTTTTTATTTACACAGAAATAAATTCAGATGCATGTGTACGCTCGAAAAGAAAAATGGAAATCACAGGTTGCCTGGTTAGAAACTCAAGGTACAGGGCCTGACACAGGCTGCTTTAAGGCCCATGCTGCTTTATGACACGTGCCATCATGTTACCATGGAGATTTGTGATGTGGGAGGGGAAAAGGCATTGTCAAGTATTTTTTCTCATACCTCTACTGGTATCCAGAGACTGTGTTTATTTTAGCGAGGTTTCCCAGGTGTTGCGTTCTATTGATTGTTATCTGTCTTTTTCTAGTATTAGTGATTAGGCTTAATAGTTAGTAGCTTAGTTAGTAGGTTAATATTAGTTAGTTTACATAGTTCGTAGCTTTATATTAGTTGTCGTAGAAATTAGTTTTTGAGAAATTATTAATATCCCCGCTTGATAAGATACCCCATAGATTATAAGGATAGTGATAGGAATAAAAGAATGGAGAGAAGACGAAGATCCCGCCCAGTTCGTGTAAGTGGCTTGCTAGGGGTTCTCCTTCATTTCTGTTGCTCTTGGTTGTAGTCTTGCACACTGGTTCTCTCTCCTGTGGCTTTCCAATGCAGGACATTGTCTGGCTCTCTGCATGTTCTCCCATCTCATGTGCTTGGGCTGCCTGCAACCTCTTGCTCTTTAATTTGTGAGTCTCTTCTGACTGTCTTCTAGGGTGTTGCTGTCTTTCTTTTTCCTGCTGCTTCTCCTGGTGTTCAGTGTAGGCCCCTATGCTCCTGGTCTGTAGCTTGGACACTTGAAATGGAATCACTGACTAATGGCACTTTGGGCATCTGCCAGCCTGCAATGATGAGCGGGTAGCCTCGCAGAGGTGTGAGGAGAAATGTAGTGCCCTGAGCAAAGGTGGTGTTGAGGGTTGGAGAGTGTAACACTTGCCCAAGGTTGGTGCCTTCTGGCCCTGCTCTAGACATGCTAATGCCGGTTCATTCCTACCTGACCAAACAGCTTTACAAGGCTCCCCCACCCAGTCTTCTGCAAAACCATGTGGGATTCAATACAGACCCAAATAACTACCTAAACATTGCCTCCCATGTCCTCATCCTCACCCTCACATTCTCCCTTCAGTTCCTGTTGCTGAAGATTTTGGTAGCTTCAGGCCCTACAATATTTCCTCTCAAAGCACCTGGCCACAGAACGAGCAGAGCTTTCCCGTGGGGAGCAGGGACTATAATAGTCTTTGGCAGGACCCAGGACTTCAGGGCCAGGCGGTTGCTTGCTAAATAGGGAAGATACCCCTCCTGGTTCCTCACAACCTGCAAAAGAGTAGGTCATCCCCACCTGGGGAGACTGGGCCCCAGAGTGCCTTCTGCCAATCATCTCTTGTCTTCCTCCAGTTCCCAGAGCTCCAGGTCTCTGCCAGCAGGCCAGACAAGCCCATCCCGCTAACGCCTCCTGGAAGCCGGACGACCACTCCCTCTGGCTCCAGGAACAGCTTCCCCCCGCAAGGCTGGACAAGGGAAATAGGCAGATGTTTGGCACCCGGCAGCAGCAATCAGGTGAGTGTGGCATGACCTGAACATTTCCAACCATGTGCCTATGGTCTGTTTGTAGAGATGGGGTAGCCGAGACACAGGCTGCATGAGGGGCATGCCGATGGCTGCAAAGAGTCATTGGTAGACCATTGAGCCTGGGATCCCCGTGCATTGGGCACTAGTCCCATGTGGTCTTGGTCCTTTTTCTAGGAGCTAAGGGTGCACCACGCCACCTGTTCCTCCAGGAAAGGCTGTGTTCACACCGGTCGGGCAAGATCCCGCCTGGCCAACCCTGCACAGAGTCTGAGCTGCCTTCCATGGCCCTGTGATTCCTGGGGCCACGGGGGCCAGTGTAGAGGCTGACAGCCTGCCATCACCTTGGGATCCCATAGAGTGTGCAGAAGGAACCCCAGCCCGTGGCCATGTCAAGGCACTTAAGGGACTGTCTCTGTTTCTTGGTAGGATGTCAATAATCTCAGTGAATGCCTAAGCATTCAAAGCTGCCGGGCTTTCCTGCTCATCAGGAAATGGGACCAGCGGAGCCAGCAGCTGGCAGAAATGGAGAGAGCCCTTGTCCAGCTGCACGGCCTCAAGAAGCTGGGGGTACTGAGGAGAAAGGTGAAACCCTGGGGCACAGCCCTGTGCCTCACAATGGTAGATGTGTCTGTGCATCTGCTGAGAGGTGGCTTCTGGGGCTCCTGGGCTGTGGGTGCTGGATGTGGAAAAACCATACACAAACCTGCCCGCACTGTGGGAGTCTCTGCCCATATGCGAGGATGTTGTGGGAAACTCCCACATGTCCCTGTGCACTGAAGAAGGGTCTCGGTGTGTAGGATTGTGCCCCCCAGTCACATTCATTGATCGAGAGGTGCATAAGTGTGTCTCACATGTCCCTGCATTGTGGTGAGGAGGGGTGGCTGGCGTGTCAATGGGGATGTGTCCTGTGGGGTCGCTTGCAGCTGTCTGCCCTGACTCCTCCTTTGTTCCCTTCTGTGTCCTGTTGAACCTCCAGCTGTGGATAGAAAAGGAGCAGCAAGTTGACAGCTATTTCCAGGAGCGGGAGCGGGAGTGGGCAGAAGAGGAGGAGCGGCTTCAACGTCAGAAAATGAGGCTCAGGTAAGAGGAGGAGGAAGGTGAAGGGCTTGTGCATAGGACCATGTGGGAGTTCCCTGGACATTACCCTCCACCCCTGGCAGCTTCCCCAGGGAAGGCCTTGTCTGGGTCTGAGGCTCCGCTTGGAGCACGAGAGGATGAGCTTTCTGGGCACGTCAAGATGAGGGTGTCAAGCCCCTGCAGGGCAGGAAGGAGGCTCCGTGCTTTTGCACAGGGGACCAGAGTCGTCCCCCATGGCTGGACAGTGCCAGAACAGCTGTGGGACGGGGGAGCATCCCCAGCACTGGCAGGAAGGGACAGCTGAAGTCAGGCAGCATCCTGCTCAGCCCAGACTGCTCAGTTAGCAGCCAGCATAGCCACACACAGGAGTTATTTGTGCCCTCAACCTGGGGAATTCAGCGTTGTCCTAACATTAAACCTCTTCTTCCATTATCTTGTAGGGACAGGAATCAGAGAGACCCGCAGTCCCGACCCAGACCTTCCCAATTCCCCAAATCAAGATTCCCTCCCCTTTAGTTTCCCCCTGTCGTTTCATAGTTTAATAAATAATTAAAAATTCAGTGGGGCTCAGGATGTCCTTGCTGACCACAGTTGGTACCACACGGCAATGAGGAACAAGGGGTGGAAAAGGATACATGTGATGTTGTTGGGGGAAGGAGGGGGTGTGGGTAAGGAAAGGAGGAGATGCTGCAGCCTGAGGGGTCCCAATAGAGGCTTGAGGAAAGATTGGTTTAAAACTGTTTGTATTCAGTAATAAAAACAATATGGTCACAATAGAAGAGCACTCCAGTTTTTGCTGGGCAGTGTACCTAGAAGACACTCAAAAAGGCTTAATTTGCCAGGGATGGCCTACGCCAGGGATCGGCAACCCTGCGACGTGTGCCAGAGCATGGCATGTGAAGCCATTTTACGCAGCACAGGATGGAGGGGGCAATGGTGCATTCCCACCCCTCCGGCTTTACTTGATATGTGGAATGAGCTGTCTACGCTCACCGGGGTATCGGTGCAATCTCTTGCTGAAGTCACTGCTTTTGTGCTGCTCCAGAGCCCAGAGGGTGAGTGCAGCCACAGCTCATCACTATTGTCCCTTCGCCAAGATGTGTCGTGCAGGAGGAAGTGGGAGGTGCTTGCCCGGCCAAACGTGCTTGCGGCCCTTGCTTTCCCTCAAGGAAAAATCTCCTTCCTTTTCTTCTCTCCCCGCTATAAGATCAGAAGCACTTTACACCAGGATTTGGCTCCTTCTCATTCCCAGTCCTATTCCTCTTGCTAGGGAAGGGCTTGCACACAAAATCCCAGCTGCATTCCCCCCCCGAGCAACTAAGCACCGTGCATGACCCAGGGATGTTTGATTTTAAACCTTTGAGGAAGTTTCCTCCTGATGTCGTTAGATTCAGTTAAACTCTGGAAATACCCACGTCATGAGAGAAATGCTGAGCTTGTATTACACTACAGAGAAGGTGCATCCCTGAGGCCTGGCTGCCTGGTGGACTCTGAGGCTGGGATCTGGGCATTTCACTTCCAAGCCCTGATTCCAGTTTGGGCAAAGCCAGAAGTGACCAGACATTTCTTTCACATGGGGCATGCCAGGAGGCCAGTGTGGAATGGCTGAGATGGGGAACTGGGGTCTCTGTGTCATCCCTGATGAGCATATGCCTGCTACTTCAAGATCAGCAACCTTGTGGGAAAAGTCCTAGCCTCAGAGCACAGAGAAGAATGACGTGCAGACTCAGGTGACATCGTTTGTATCGAAATCCTGTCTAGAATCAGAGATAAACCTGACTCTGCTGAGCCAACGCGGCAGGTCCCAGGGAGCAGAACACCTGGCACAACATTCTCTGTGATGAGGGCATGGTCATTAGAAGGGGCATTTACTAGGGTGGCCTAATTTAGTTGTGTGACTTCACCTCCCTCCTCCTCTGGCCCAGGAGCAGACCTGCCAGACCTGCCCCAGAGGTATTAGGCATCCACACCTGCCATGCCTCGATGTCTTACTTGTTGAAAACATATATTGTGGGGAGGCTGCCTTATGTCTGTGGCCTAGGGTTGAGGCCTAAGTATACGGCTCCACCATCCCGTGTCCCGTCTCCACCCTCTGATCTTCATAGCACCTGGTGGGTCAATGAATAAGGCCTCCAAGAAATGGGGCCTGATGCAACAAACATTTTATGTATGTGAGTTAGTATTTTAATAGAGTTTAATATTGCCTGATCTTTATCCTTTGTTCTGGTTTACTTACCTGTATCCTGAGTGTAGGGAGGTAAAGGAGTGTACATATGTTGCATATAGATCCATGTTTTGTGTATGTGTGTGTATATATATATATATATATATATTTATATTCCTTCCTATATTTTATTGCATTAATAAATATATATATAGTTAAATTCACAGAGTGTCCTGGCTTGACTCTATAGGGGAAGGTGGGAAACTGTGTGCAGCCAGCAGTTTCATCCCCCAGTGCACCTGCCCTGCTAACCTTTGCCTTCACTTGGAGAGGGGAGTACATAACCACGTACTGCCCAGGATATCCATGTATGTGTTACCCAGGACACCCTCACGTGTGCAGAGACTCCCAGAATGTGGGCTCCTTACTGTGTCTGTGTCTGTGTCTGTGTCTGTGTGTGTGTGTGTGTGCGTGTGCGTGCATGTGCTTGTGTTTATATGCATCCAGCACCCAAACCCAATAACCCCATAAGCCACCTCTCACCAGATGCACAAACACATCTACCACTTGAGAGCACAGGGCCGTGCCCCAGGACTTCAACTTCCTCTGCAGTACCCCCAGCTTCTCGATGCCATGAAACCAGACAAGGGCCTTTTCCAGATCCTCGACCTGCTGTTTCCGCTGGTCCCATTTATGGACTGGGAGGTAAGCCCAGCGCCTTTGAATTTTTAAGCAGTCATCGATACTGCTGACATCCTGCCAGGAAAAAGAGCACAGTCCATTAAGGACCTTGAGATAGCCATGGGCTGCGGATCTCTCTGCACACACTGTGGGATCCCAAGGTGATGGGAGGCTGTGCCATCCTCCATACAGTCAACAGCTACCTCAGAAATCACAGGGCCCTGCCAGGCAGCTCAAACTCTGTGCAGGGTTGCCTATCCTGTCTGAACACACCCTTTCCTGGAGCAACAGGAGGCCTGAGGCACCAATAGCTTCTAGGCACTGGAACAAGATATGAGAGTAGTGCTCAGAGCACAGGGCTCCCAGGCCCCATCCATGGCTCTGCCAATGACTCCTTTCAGCCATCAGGAAGTCCCTCATGCAAACAGCTGCACCAGGCTCCACAGCTCCGGCATCAGCTCCATGCTGGCAGCAACTGCACGGACACCACAGGGTGGGCTGTGCTGCCCTGATGTCTGCCCCAAGGTGCGCACACAGTCACCACCAGCACGGAGCTGATGCCAGAGCTGTGGAGCCCAGCACAGCTGTTTGCAGCCTGCCTACTGCTTGCTGCAGCTGCCCAGAGCCTGGGCTGGCTGCAAACAGCTGTGCTGGGCTCCAAAGCCCTGCTATCACCTCCGTGCTGGGAGTGAAAAGACCAGGGTTGCACTGCCTCAGACCCCTCCCACAGCCCGCTCCGACGTGTGGTGCACGCACTGGTACAGAGCTGATGCCAGGACTCTGGTCACCTGGCACAGCTGTTTGGACGCTCCCGGCTGCAGCCACCCTGGTTTTGGGTAACCGCTGCCAGCCAGGAACCCGGGCTGCTCCCAGCAGGCAGCTAGAATCCTGCAAGCCCTGCTGGGAGAAGCCTGGGCTCCAGCAGCTACCCAGAGTCAGGGTAGCTGCTGACAGCCACAGAGCCTGGGCTGGGGGGCAGGGGCTTTGGGTGGGGGGGCAAGGGGCACAAGCAGGGCATCCTGCCAAGTACCCCTTGCCCTCATTGTTTTTCTGGCATGCCGGCACTCCAGCACCTTCCAAGGTAGGCATTGTGGTGTTTTTCGGCACTCCGGCCAAAAAAGGTTGCCTACCCCTGTTTTATACCCTTCTGGGCCTGGGCTGACTCAGGCCCACGCAGCAAACACACAGTCAGCAATCCCACACTAATCAGCAATCAACAGTCACTCACCACTCAATCCCAGCTTCTCAGCACACACCCACCAAACAAACAAACAGGCAGCTAAACCAAAGGTCCAGGCAGCTGGATCACTTACCTTTCCTGGGCAGAATCTAGTGCCTGGCCTGACTTCTCTCCTCCTTCCTCCCTCCCCTTGCCTCCAGCAACTGCCTGCAAACTGCTCTCCTGTTGGCAGTCCCTGTTCTCTGGTTCCCTGGTCACAGGCAAGCCCTCTTAGGTCACAAATACTTTTAACTGCCTCTGCTGCCAAAGTTTCCAACCCGGGACTGTCCGGGCATTGGGAGAAGGCAGCTGCATCTGTATTTTGTCACCCAGCTCTATAGCGCAGACTAAATTGGTAATCTGATAGGGCTGCCACCCACCGATGCCCAGTGGCATTTAGTTTGGCACTGGTTAAGATGTAGGCGAGGGAATTGTTGTCCATCTGTAAGGAGTGACCTAGAAATTACCATGCAGAGACCAAGCAAACAGAATGTTATGTGACGAATGCCCATCTGCAATGATAAGGAGGAGACAGTCTTAGATAAAGGAGGCTTGAAAACAAAAGCAGAATCAGAGTACTGGGTTAAAGAGCTCATTAAAATACTAAAAATCACGCCCCTAGGTGGGGAAAAAGTATGCTAATGAAACATACATGTATGTAAATGAGATACATAGCTAAAACACAGGTATAGAGACATGCTCAGTAAAGAACTTCTTGTGTCACTCCTTACAACCAATCAGCAAACAAATACGCTGGTGAGAACTTGAAAACTCCTGTATAAAAGATGCTTAGTGGTAGTGATCTGGTGTGCTTGTTACGTGAAATTATTCCGCTCGCACCTTTTATTGCTAGCAATAAACCTTCTTTATACTTTCACCCCTGGTATCTTTATTGGC